CCACAATCCCTTTGGAGATGCAGTAAGCAACAGACTGGATGGTGATCATAGGATTCACTCCAACTGCAGTAGGAAGCACGCTCCCATCACACACAAACAAGCCCTCAGCCTCCCAACTCTCCCCCCTCTCGTCAACCCCACTCTCCTCCTCGCTCACCCCCATCCTACAACTCCCCATTTGATGTGCTGAACCATACATAGTCCATAACTCCTCCCTCTCCTTCGGCCCTTCTGTAATCCCCACGTTATCCAAGAACTCCTCCACATCCTCGTCGTTGGTCCCTCTGCACCTCATCCTCTGCCCGTCGCTCCTGTGGGTCCCTACCTCCGTCGCCCCTGCTGCTATCAGAATCCTCAGCACTCGCCTCAACCCGCTGTGCAAATTTTCCTTGTCTAATTCACCCGTTCTATATACCACTCTCCCTTCGCCTTGCACTGTGCCTGATCCCAGATCTCTAACAAGGGCAAAGAGGTGCACGGTTCGACTGTATTTCAGCATTCTATCTTTCATGTCTTTTCCCGATACCCAGGGAACGAATGACGCGAATGAGGCGGGGCCCACGGCCGGTGCTTCGATGATTGCTCGATTATCAGAATTCGAATCCTTCATTTTGTGGATGGAAGTGATGATCCCCCCCTCGAATTTCTTGCCTTTGAGGTCTGATACTGATTCTGGAAAGTATCCCCAGGCTACAGCACAGGGGTGGAGGTGTAGGTTTTTCCCTATGTTGGGATTCCTTAGCCCACTGGCGAGCATCAGAGGGGGAGTCGAGAGGGCCCCACAAGCAGAAATGGACACCCTAGCTTTGATCTGTATTTTCTTCGTCACATTTTTGCTCAAAATCTTTCCTATTACTCCAATACACTTCATGGATCTCTTGCCAGCATTGTTCCCTTTCAACAAGAATCTCTCCGCTTTACATCCGGTCAGAATAATTGCGCCAGAGTTAACTGCGTCAACCAACCAAGTAGTATCGGTTCCTTTCTTGTCTCCTGTTGGACATCCATAACAGCAACTCCCACAGAAATGAGACTCCGAGCAATTTCTCGCAACAAAACCAACATCAAGACCGAGTTTTTCACAGCCTTTTCGAAGAACTTGGTTCTGCAGTCCTTCCTCTGTGCAGGTTTCAGTGACTCCAATCCTTTCACAGACTTTGTTCATTGCCGATATGTACTCTTGATTCGTAAAAAGATTCAGCTTTTTTTCCTCTTCCCATTCTTTGAGAACATTATCGGGTGTCTTTATGCAAGCTGACCAGTTGACAGCTGAACCTCCTCCAACCATTGACCCAGCAAAGAGCAGTATGTTACAGTCCAGAGTACTGAGAAATCCCCCAGATTCATACATCTGGTCCAATGATGAAGCTTCAATGGACGTATAGTCTTGTGAGGTAAAGTAATTTCCTTTCTCTATGACGATAACCTTGTAGCCTGAGCTCGAAAGGATAGAAGCTGCAACTCCACCACCACAGCCTGAGCCAATAATAACAGCATCACATTCAATAGTGTAAGTGTCCTTTTGATTTGGATCTTCAATCACCTTTAGGCCCTTTTGGGTCAGAGATTTGAGAAGGGATGAGTCGATAGTTTGATCAGTTATTTCTACGATGCCTTTTTCAAGAGGTCTCTCTGTTTGTGGGTTTAAGGGATTTTCTCGAGTTGGTAGCTTATACCCAATTGCATTCCATGTCGGGTTTTCTGAATTTTCATTAATCTGTAAGGAAACGAGAACACCGGTATCAGACCATGCATTAGTTTCTTCAGAAGGCAAGTTCAGATTCAACATGTTAACAACCAAAAAAGAACAGCCGCAATCATAAGCAAGCACTTTTTGAGCGTTTACTGGCTTCATAGCTCGAGATCAACAAGACAAGAACCGAACACGGGGATCCCTAGGTTTTCTTTCTATTTGTAGCTTTCTGAGTGTACTGACTACAGGAATCAAACCAACGTCTTACATCCGTAATAATAATAATCATCAACCACACAGGTCCATGTCGATCTACATCATAACGTAGGGAATGAAACTGACCACATTTAACTATAAATGATTAAGTACTCAATAGTCCACATCAATTATGTCACTAATCTGCTAAATTATGAACAACAGTACATGAAAATGTATAATAACCATGTGGTCCTATATGGTAGATGATAACAATGATAAAATAACTTAATCAGACTAAAACCCAAAGTTAAGATGCTCCTCCTTTCTTGTTTTACATGTCATTCTATATAGATACCGTCTCCTGACGGACAAAACTTAGCATTATCCACAATACCCGCGGTTGATATTGCCGAAGACAATTGGTGGTTCTTTATGTGGTTAACAAGATTTGGACACAATATTGCTGTCAATAATAGATGAGTTGTTGATAAGCTCAACGATTCTAGCATAATTGCATGGCCAACAGGTACCTTATCAATCCACAAGATGCCATAATTCAACGCAGTTCTCTGTAATATCTATGTACAATTTTTTAAGCTTTGTCAGTAGCCAGGTGCTGTATTGCTCATAGAAGTGGACTGAGTTGTATAATAGACGTATGGTCTGAAGAGGTTTAACAATTAAATGTGATGTGCCTCCTTGCTTGTTTTACGTAGAAAGCTAGCCATTTTGCAGAACATTAGAGAATCAACCCACAAGCTATAAAAAATGTTTCTGAAATCAAAGCTA